CTCTCTCTCTCTCTCTCTCTCTCTCTCTCTCACACACACACACACACACACACACACACACACACACACAAAGTAAATAAATAAAACTTTCTCTAAGTTGTGGGAGAAACCAAGAGTGTTGCCTGGCAAGTTTAGGTTCATCCTGGAATACATAGTGAGTCCCAAGCCTGGGCCAAGAGTCAGGCTCTGACTTAACAACAAAGAGCTGTCAAGATAGCTCAGTGAATAGGATCACTTACTGACCAGCCTGCTGCCCTGCATTAGATCCCTGAAACCTACATGGTGGAGAGAGAGAGCCAACTCCTAAAGCTACCCTCTGACTTCCACATGTGTTCTGGGGCATACGTGCACACACACACACACATGTGCAAATAAATAATAAGTTTTTTAAAGGAGGAGGGAGGTAAAGGAAGTAAAACTACCCCCCCAGCTGCTTATTAAGTTTCTTGTCAAAACTTCTTGGGACAGGAAGCTGGCACCACCTTCATAGGAAAATGGTTATGTCTGTGGGTTTTGGTTACATTCTGCCCTCATGTAAGAGGCAGGAGGCCTTATTATGCCCAGGAAAGATGATTGTTCCTCTTCCTGTCCTGCAGGGAAGCCCCAGAGGCATACTAGTGGGATAGAGAACACAGAAAAAAAGGCACCATGTGTCCTTAAGTCCCCATGGGAAACCTAAGAAAGGGAGGCAAAGGTACAGTGTGCCCTTAATGAGCCTTAATGAGCAGAGAGGAGCAGTGCCTGGCCCCTGCTGCCTGCAGGGAGGTTATGATATTTAGGGGGGGTAGCTCTTCCTTCCTCTGACCTTATCCCAGCTCCCCTCACACCTGGGGGGGGGGGAACCGGTAGAGCTCACCTCTGTAGGAAACCCCCCCCAGCCAGTGTTTGAACTCTCGAAGGTTACAGTCACACTCCCATGGGTTGTCCCCAACCTGAAGCAGCTGCAGGCTTGCCAGGGGTTCAAAGGTCAGCCGGTCCAGGCTCTGCAGACGATTAGAGCGAAGGGACAAGGATCGCAGAGCCAGGAGCCCGTCAAAAAGCCCTGGGGGCAGCTGGGCCAGGCCGTTGATGGACAAATCCAGATGGCGAAGCAGCGGGGCGTGCTGGAGCAGGTCTCTGTCCAGGGTCCTGATGCTGTTGTTCCGCAATTGGAGCTCTGTCAGATTGACCAGGTCCTGGAAAATGGACCGAGGTAGCTGGTCCAGGAAGTTGTTAGACAGGTCCAGCCGCTGCAGGTTGGACAGGTTGGCGAATGCCCAGCTGGGCAGGGCACTCAGTTTATTGTTCAAGAGCAGAAGGCTTTGGGTGGCAGCGGGCACATCCGGGGGCACAGTGGTGAGGCCCAGGCCACTGCAGTCCACCTCCAAGCTTCGACTGTCACATATGCAGGAGAAAGGGCAGGCAGGGAGCACCTCCACAGCACACAGGGCAATCCAGCAGGTGATCCCTAAGGGAGGAGTCAAGAAAAGAAAGTAACAGGCATGGGTTTTCCAGCCTCAGTTTCCCCACCCCAGCTCATGCCTTAGTACTTTCTTGGCCTCATCTGTTTTGACACAAGTATTTACTGACCACACAGGAAAGTTCTTGGGAACCTGAAACATCCATGCTAAATGACATCACACTGTGACCAAAAAAAAAAAGTCATGTTTATTAGTGGAGTGGCCTAGAGGACAAGCCATACAGTTTGTCAGTTAATGTTCATGGCCTCCACCGCTAAGTGTCTCCAAACTTAGATGTCCTGATGCTCCAAATGTTTACAAAATGTAAGATTTCAGACTACCAGGGAAACTGTTCAAAGTCAGGGTCCTTCCTGTGGGAACCTCATCCCCACCTGAAGCCGCATCTCACTGGTATATGCTTTGCACATGAAAAGGGGAGTCCGGGATATATATATATGCCCTACAGCATCTACAATACTATCCCATTTACCTGATTCTCATGTCTAAGGTAGGCCCAGCCCAGCATCAGGGCACTGTGACAACAGCAGAGTAAACCAGCAGCTTCCAATTCTAGAAGTCTGTTCAGGAATGCTTGGTCTACATTTGGACTCTGAAGCTGCCAGGCCCATCTTATACTTCTAGCCTTAGGGTGCAAGGTAGCATTTCCAAGTGGCTCAAGTAACAGGATTCTTGCCATGTCTTGTTTTGGCCCAAGACCCTTCTGAGTAGAGTATGTGGGTCCAGCCCATGAACACCTGCTGGAAGTCAGCCCCCGTAGTCAGCCCCCTCTGGTGGTGACCCTGTAGTCAGCCCCACTGCTCCAAGTGCCAGAGGAGCCTGCCTTCCTGGGAACCTGGGAAAAGAGCTCACACAGTTCTGTCTCCACTGAATCAACTCGACCTTGAGTCCTGAGAAAAGCCTCCAGATGGAGAACTGATGAAGTTCAAAGCCAGCCACCACCCAGCTGGCCCTACTTGGATGGCCAGCAGCCAACCCAACCAGGGCACCTAGATGAGACAGTCTCCAGTCTGTCTGGGGGGGGGGTGTCTAGTCATCTTAAGTCCCAAAGGGTAGAGCGTGAGGAGACAAGATGACACTCTCCCTGCCCTTTCTTGTGGGATTAATGACAGTGAAGGATACACCATGAGGCTGACACATGAGCCTCTTTGTTCTTGATGGGAAATGAGCACAACTTAGCTGTTACAGTCAGCTGGAGACCTCTCCTTGCTACCTGAGGCCACCTGAAACGACCTCTACCTTTCTGAGGCAGCCTGCCCCATACCACACAATCACACACACACACACACACACACACACACACACACACACCATCTGAACAACAACACTCTTTATGTTTTACTTTCCAGGAGAAGCCAAGGGTGACACACACATCTGTATTCAGTATTTAGGAGGTTGAGGCAGAGAATCACAACTTTGAGATTAGCCTTGCTACATGAACTATCTAAAGAAAATAAAAGAAGGAATGGAGGGGGCATGGAAGGAGGAAGAGAAAGGGAAGAACTGAAAGAAATCAGAAAGAGGAGGAGAGGAGAGGAGAGGAGAGGAGAGGAGAGGAGAGGAGAGGGACTCAAGGCATCAATACCCCTTGAGAAGGACAATCAGTATGTATCAGGGACAATCACTGTCAGGAGCCACGCTCCACACACTTTCTGGTAAATAAACTGGCAGCTGGACAGGGAGGAAATGGCTCCCTTCTCCCCCCCCCCCCAATCGCACCCCATCTCTGCCAAAATTCAGAGTTGCAGCAAAGCTCTATGACAAGAAAACATAACCCTGTACCAGGAGGTGTCAGCATGATCCTAAGATGAAAGGGATCCGAGCCCCTCGGATAGCCATTCACCTGGTGAATAATTCAGGCCGCTCCATGCCAGGGCAACTGGACCGAAGGCCAGGGGAGGTCAGGCAGAGCAAGGTCCCTCTGGGCCATTTCTTTCTTCTTACTGCATAGCTGTGGGCAAACCAGCTATGGGGGACCTTATCCCTTTGAAGAGAATTTTCATGGACAAGGCTGCTCTCACTAGCATGTAACCTCAGTGTGCCGTGTGAACGAGGAGGAATGGACCCAGTCCCTGTGACCCCTTCTTCCACTCTGCACACCAAGAGCTCACTAGTGCTTCCACAGAGCTGGGAAGACTGCAGCGAACAGACCCTGCCGGGGTCTCTGGGTTCAGCAGGCAGATGAGACGGCTGAGGCCAAGTGGGAGGGACTTCGACCCAGGTGGAGCTGATTTCTGCCCCTGCACAACACACGCTACACACGCTACAGATCCCAGTTAGAAGTAGTGGAGCTGAACCACTCTCCAGCCGAACTCTTGGCGGTGACTGCCAGGGAATGAGAAGCATGAGGCAGAACCAGCTGTCCAGCCTCCATCTCCCAGCCTCAGGAAAGCACACATGGACTGTCTTTACTTAGCAAGGCCATGAGTCTGAGCCTCCAAAGGAAGGGCCTTCAGCACCCAAGAAGGTCAGACAACAAGCTGCTACCCTGTTAGATACACACAGCCCAGCCCCATGCCAGGCCATACTCACAGGCGACCTGCCTCCACTGCAGGGCAAGCTTGCTCCTCTGCTCTGGGCCACTGCCTGGTGCCAGCATGGTGGAACCCACACTCTCTGCAGCTCTGGAGAGAGCCCCTCAGCATGCACAGACTGTCAGTCCTGAGAGAGAGAGAGAGAGAGAGAGAGAGAGAGAGAGAGAGAGAGAGAGAGCAAAACATTTGGAGCCCGTTCCAGCCCAGGGGTTAGGGACAAGGCCCAGGTGTCTCTTTACATTTTCATCCCCTCTCCTGTTGCTCTCACTGTGATGCTCTGCAGGGAGGGGTTCAAATGGAGTAAGGTGTTTGCCTCCTAGGGCGCTGGAGGACAAAGGCACTGCCAGCTGAACTCCAGCTCAGCCCTCCCCTTCCCTCCCCCGTCTTTCCCTGACTCCCCAGGGGCCTCACTACCTTAAGCCTCTGGTGGGCTTTAAAAATGATTTCGCAGCAATCCTGCCTCCTCCACCCAGGCTCACCACGTCACAGGTGGGGAAATGAAGGTACATCTCTCCTCGGTAAATGAATGAGGCCCCAGCTCTCATTTCTCCACCTGGTTGCACCCTCTCCCGCACCCCCTCCCCAGCTTACCATAGCAGCGAGGAGGCAGAGTCCAGGCCTTTCCCTTCGGAGTGCCTGCTGACAGGATGTGAGGTGCTGTGCAGCCCCCAGCTTCTGATCCCACCGTCACCCTGAGGTGAATCACAGTGACCTGTCTTCTCCAGCTAGCTGATCTATAGCTGCTTCACCTCGGGGGTTCCTGCTCTTCAGCTGGCCACTGGCTCAGAAGAAACTGAGGCCCAGCGAGGGTGAAATGGCAGAGGGCTGGAAGTAGGATAGGTATAGGCAGCAGGTCACTCTTCCAGGGGACAAGTGGGCTTCTTAACCTTTCTAGGGCCCGCCACAACCCAGAGTCTTCTAAAGGGGACGCAGGCCTCCTTCGCACCCCAACTCCCTCCAGATGCGGTTAAGAACTATAAGATGGGAAGCCAGAGCCTGCACCCTAGCCCAGCGGTGGTGGCACACACCTTTAATCCCAGCACTCAGGAGGCAGAGGCAGGCAGATCTCTGTGAGTTCGAGACCAGCCTGGTCTACAAGAGCTAGTTCCAGGACAGCCTTCAAAGCCACAGAGAAACCCTGTCTCGAAAAAACAAAAACAAAAAACAAAACAAAACAAAAACAAAAACAAAAAACCAGAGCCTGCACCCTGCCATCTCCATCAGAGATGAAGCTAGCACCACTGCAAGGCACTAGGGATGGTGGGAGTCAGGAAAGGGTCAGATAGGGGAGGCTATAATATACCCCAGGTTCCCTTTAGTGCCCAAGGGCACTGTTCTCTGGAAACATTCCTCTCAGGATAGCAGCAAGTTTGGCCTTCTTTGACTACCAAGTTCATGGACCCTGTATAGTTCCTCTTGCAGCCCTCATAGTTCTGTTTAGTCCTAGAGCTCCCAGGCAATGGCAGAATGGAGCTGACACTAAGGAGGTTGAGTGGAGCTGCCAGGATGCTCAGGCATTCTTTCTAGAAGCCGGAGCAGCCTGACCCAGGTTTCCCTCGGGTGTTTGGGAAATGCTCCATTGCATTCTCCCATCCTAACTCCATTTCATTGTTGTTTTATTTGTTGTTTGAGCCCAGACTGTCCTGGAACTTGTTATGTATTATTAGGCTGCCCTCAATTTCACAGAGATCCGCCTGCCTCTGCCTCCTTACTGCTGGGATTAAAGGCGTGCACCACCACCGGCTAACCCCATTTTCTATTCTCTACCTCCACTCCATCCCACCCTAGTAATCTTCAGGAAGCCACCAAGGTGGCCTGTGCTGCTGTGACCTATGTAGCCCTCAGATACTCTGCTCTGCTCCCAGCAGGGGCAGCTTGCTCAATTCCTGTCTGCCAGCCTTGACTTCACCTCCCCACTTCCCAGTTAGGAGGTAACAGCTTATGAAAGGTCCAGCAGGGGCTGCACACCAAAACCGAGCATGGCTTTAACTCAGCACAGCTCTCGGCTAAGGGCAGAAGCCCGGCCCTTGCTGCCATATGCATGGACCCAGGCACTCAGTGGTTACAGTGGCTTGACCTCAGTTCTAGTACCATCCTGGCTCAGGTTCACAGGCAGAGTCTGTGGGTTCAAATCCATGACCTTCCAACACACTGCTTAAACTCTGCCCCAGCTTTCCAACTCTAAAAGTGACAGTCTGATGCTCGGTGGGTGGAAACAGAGTACGTACATGTGAGGTACACATCACTTAAGGAATTCCCACCTCCCCTTGAGCCCATAAAGGGCGTCTTCATCACCAGGCGAGGCCAGTGTCACAGGCACCTGAGCCTGACTCAGGCCGTGGCCAGTCACAGGTGCCCATTCCATGTCTTGCTCACCTTATTCTGATTCAAGCTATTTCTGTCCCTCCCTAGCCCCTGCCTTCAAACATCAGTCACACCACAGGTCACAGCACCTGTTAAATAGCAGACAGGTTACAGCCACACAAATGCATAGCTATAACCAGCTTCCCAGGGTTACATGGTGAGGATGGGTTACAGGCTTCTGAGCCTGGCTGTTTGCCCACTTCCTGATGGCTATCAGCCTGCAAGGGCCCTAGTGGGAAAGACTTATGTGTGCACGGAGCTCTCCGACACAACCTTGGAGCACCGTATGCAGCTGAGTGAGGCGGGCACATAAGGAGAAATGTGTGGCTAAGTGTATCATAACACGTGTGCTTGCATACATGCACTCCCACACACAGGTACCAGATTTGTGAAGCCAGGCATGTACATAGGCACATGCGTGCACACCCACACACAGACACATGTCTTGCTGGCAGCATGCCAGCACGTCTTAGCTGTCATTCAGGCAGCAAAGGGATGCCTCACAATTCCAGCATACCCCCAGCAGGGGGACACAGGGACACTTCCAGGCTGGAAGGGAGATAGATCTGCTGACAATCCCACACAGCAGCCACGAAGCCAGGCCAGTTTTCTTGTTCAGGCCCAGGAAGGCTGAAGGCCCAGGCCAGCTCCTCCTCCCATTCCTGTGCCCTCCCCCAGGGGGACAGGCTTCGGAGGTTGACCTCCACCTGAGGGTCCATGAAGGTTCCTCCCACTCTGCCCTCTCAGTGCCACCCTGCTTACAATGCCGTGGGGGGGGGGAGGGCTCTGAATAATCGGCACAGACCGGGGTGTTGTCTACTGAGGTGGCAGAAAGGACTGTGGTGACTGGTGTCCCCTGGAGAAAAGAGGACACATCTAAGAGAAGATACCAGGCTCTCTCTAGCTAGCTGATGTGCCCCCTCTGGTTTGTGGCCTCTTGGTTGATGTCAGCGCCTTCCTGATTCTCGGAGAGACGTGGGGGAGGGGCAGCTCCTAGCCCTTCCACCCCAAGTCCACCCACACACCTCCCAGCGAAAGACCCTTCCACCCTGAAACAGCAGAGACACCTCAGGAAAGGGGTGACCTATATTGGGAAGCAGAGGCAGCTGCTGCTGCAGGCACTGGCCAACTGCTGGAATAAACTAGCACTCTGTGGGAGTGGGAAACACAATAGAGTTGGGGGTCCCGCCAGAGGACCCTCTGTCTGTCCACCTCACCCCCCCACACACACACACACACCCTCGTCTTGCAGCTCATGGGCACTGGATTCAGGACCTGCTCCAAAAACTAACCTGCGTTTGTCCTAGCCCTAGAAACAGAGAGCAGAGAGACCAGGCTGGGCCCAGCAGGGGGTCCCTGGACTCCACTGGGCTCCAGTTTGAAGAATGGACTGATAAAGTAGGAATGGCCAACCTTGGCACCTCCCAAACCAGAAACATGCAGTTTTGACTCTGATGTGCTAGAAAGGTCACATAGCTCGGAACCCTTGCAGAAATGCTGAATCTCAGGTCCCACCCAGACTAGCTAAGTGAAAATATGCCAGCTACCAAGATTGCAGACAATTCAGGGACATAGTCAAGACTGAGAAGTATAGACCAGCACTCTCAGGCAGGGCCTAACAGCTACCCATCTCTAGGCCAGGGAACTGGAGACATCATAGGCTGTATATAGTGAGCCTGGAGGAGATAGGACAGAAAATGGCAGATATAACGGAAAAATACATCTGGGACTCACCCAAAATCTTAAATAACCCTGCCTAAGGCAGGACAACAAAAGGGCACTAATCTGAGGGCCTCCTACAAGCCTTTATGTGGGAATATGCTAATGGCCGCAGTCAAAGAACTACACAGTGTTCTTGGTATTCATACAGTTCAGTAAGATCAGAGTTACTATCAGCATCATAGACAAACAGGCGTGGAAAAGCTTAGGCAAATGGAAGAATGTAGATTGGACCTGAGTTACCTGGCCACAAAGCTGCCAACTCAGGCTCTCCTGCCTCAGCCCCAGCACTCAGATAAAGGCTGAGTCAGAAACAGGGACGGACAGCCCTCATTCATATAGAAATTTACCATTTATAAGGCATCTCCTCATCACCGTTTCACTGGAGCTGAGCAAACAGCCATTCCTGTTTCCATCCTACCCACAGGCTGAAAGATACCCAGAAAACCACTCCTGGGGGACGTGGTGGGGCAGTCAGGAAGTGGAGGATTGGAGCAGCCGGCAGGTGAGGCAGTAGCAGGGTGCAGGCAGAAGTTCCGTGTGTTCCTGCTAGCCCAATGGCTGCTGTATCCACTAGAGATAGGGCGTGGGAGCTGTTGCCCTGGAACCCCAGCTGCCCCCTCCTGCAGCTTGGAGCAGCCATCCAGGCTTGCTCTGCAGAGCATCGAGGTTGGGATGACAGAGTCACCTGTCACCTGCCATCCCTCCAATTTCTCCCACAGATATAGGCCTACTCTCCCTGGGATGTAGGCTTACACTCAACTAAAAACCAAAAACACCCCACCCCAGGCCTGGGATCCACAGGATCCCTCAGAGTTCCTTCTGGGTACCCCTCAAATCAAGTGTCTACAACATGCAGACGATGAGCGCCCTGACACTGGGGGCTGTGCATATCCTCTCAGTTATTGCCCCAGGGTCACGGCTTCTGCACCACAGCCCGGCCCCATACACCAAGGGGGAAGCAGAAATGGAATGCGTGGTC